ATCCGGAATTTTCTTCGTAAATACCGTCTGCGAAACATCGCAAGAAAGCTTGTTCTGGACCCCCCGCAAATTGCGCGATTATATATAATAGATTCTGATTGGCAGTTAGCCAAGCTCATCCTAACGTGAACTCCCATTGGATAACACTATCAATCCTTGGTTGATTCGTACTTAATTATTTATTGACTGGGATATATTGTTATTGCAGATGGCCGCAGCACAAGAGTATTCYACAGAAGAACTTAACTACTTCAGGGTTTGCAACGTCACCACTCGAATCATTSCTGACGGACTACGAGTAGTCTTCAAACAATTATGGGACACTCATTACCAGGCGACACACGGCCAGTGGCAAGATACGGCTAAGAATGGCATTGATTTGTACAACATGGAATCTTCTAAAAGTCGTAAGAGAAATTCACGAGAACTTTTAATTTTGAGAAATGGCAATAGTCGTAAATGGGACTGTACCAGTCTTTCTTTTGCCATTCTTTWTTCAGCTAGCATTGGCAAGGGTCTCGATCCCGTTGTTRAGAAAGGCGTGSATGATTTACGTCAATTCCGTAATAMAGTCTTTGCTCATGTGYCTGATGGAAAGCTGACAGTARRGGATTTTCAAAAATCTATCCAAACGGTCATASRTGCTTTTAGCGCCCTGAAACTAGACACTGCTGGTATCGAGGCAATCAAAAWCCARAAAACATTTCTTACAGAGGAACTACGTCTCAYTCAGCAACAGTTAGAAAAGGARAAAATACGTAACGAGGAACCACGATCGTTTTGTGTTTTGCCACCCAAACCATCCCACGAAGTTATCGATCGTTCAAGCGAAATGAATGAGATACTACAAGAGATGAAAAGGTTGAGAAGCATAAAAAGAAATGAAATAACTGTTRTTTATCTGTCTGGGAATCCTGGCTGTGGCAAAAGTGAAATAGCAAGGCAGATAGGTGAGAATGTTTTCGATGATGTTCCCGATAACGCGACAGATCAAGTAAAGTTTGTGTTCGCCCTAAACGCATCCAGTAYAGACACATTGATACAATCATATATTGAATTTGCAATTACTTTGAACTGCGATGAGAATTCTACTACGAGTATTGGAACATCAAAAGATCTTTCTCCGGAAGACAAACTTATTCATCTTAAAAGTCTTGTAGCTCCCAAACTGCGAAAGTATTCTTCATGGCTCTTGATCGTAGATAACGTCACAGACGTTAAATCAGTCTTCAGRTTCTTACCACAAGCGGGAGAGAAGACGGAGGGCAATGGTCAGATACTTATTACCACACAAGACAGTCGATCCATTGTTGCCTATGATTCGTACACTTACCATTTATCCCTTAGTCGCGGTATGAAACCTGAYGAAGCGGTAAAAACACTWTCTRAAATATCGGGCGTTTCTTCAAATAAAGAATGCATTTTACAAGTTGCGAAGGCTCTAGATTACCAGCCACTAGCACTAGCGTGTGCAGCAACTTACATGAAGCGTGTAAGTGATATAACGTCAATCTCATGGGAAGAATATTTACAGAAGATTCAACAAGGCAAGAGAGAAGCGACTGAAGGGGAATATAAAAGAATTAGCGTAACTTACCCTCAATCGATGACTGCAGCAGTCAAGTTGGCCTTAGAAAAAGAAATGGCTGCAGACAAGGTTATGATGCATGCTTTTCAGTTCTTGTCTGCGTTGGGCCCTGAGCGGATACCCTTGGAATATGTCGTACAATATGTAACACGGTGCATGCCAGATCAAGACGAAGATCTCGTGGCCGCCACTGTCTTTTCATCTTCACTTATTCTTAATTCTCCAGAAGACCAGTCAAAAGAGATTGGTGTACATCAAGTTGCACATAGCTGTCTACAAGATATTGTTCTACACAAGAGCAAAGCAGAAGAATTCTATTTCCTGGTAAACGTAATTAATGCTTTTTCAGCACTTTTAAATGTCTTTGATAAGGACAACGTCAATCACATTACAACAACAAAATCAGTAGCAGTGCATTTTATGCACCTCTCAAAACATTTATCCAATTTTGCAATGGAATCTTTATCCCCCATAAAACGAAACACGAATTTTCAACAAGGATACAACGAGTCCGTGAGTTGCATAACGACCGCGGGAAAGGTCTGCCAAACCCACGCTAAGCACGAAGCTGCAAAAACATTCTTTCAAACAGTACTTATGATGGAAGAATTTTATCATCATTGTAATCATCCAACATTTGCTTCTGCGTTGAATAGTCTAGCATGGAGCCTCCGTCATCTGGGCAAGCATGAAGAAGCGCAGAAATGTTTTGAGAGAGCCTTGCAATTGGCTATTCAAGAAATGGCGTATGGTCAAAATCATCCTATAATTGCTACTATATTGAATAATCTAGCATTGAACCTCCGTGATCTGGGCAAGCATGAAGAAGCGCAGAAATGTTTCGAGAGAGCATTGGCTATTGATGAGATGGCGTATGATCAAAATCATCCAATACTTGCTATTACATTAAATAATCTAGCATTGAACCTCCGTGATCAGGGCAAGCATGAAGAAGCGCAGAAATGTTTCGAGAGAGCATTGGCTATTGATGAGATGGCGTATGGTCAAAATCATCCAACACTTGCTAGTACATTGAGTAACCTAGGATCGAACCTCCGTGATCTGGGCAAGCATGAAGAAGCGCAGAAATATCTCGAGAGAGCATTGGCTCTTCAAGAGATGGCGTATGATCAAAATCATCCAAACCTTGCTGCTATGTTGAATAATCTAGGATCGAACCTCCGTGATCTAGGCAAGCATGAAGAAGCGAAGAAATGTTTTGAGAGAGCATTAACTATTGATGAGGTGGCGTATGATAAAAATCATCCAAAACTTGCTACTACATTGAGTAATCTAGGATTGAACATCCGTGATCTGGGCAAGCATGAAGAAGCGCAGAAATATTTCGAGAGAGCATTGGCTATTCAAGAAATGGCGTATGCTCAAAATCATCCAACACTTGCTATTACATTGAACAATCTAGCATTGAGCCTCAGTGATCTGGGAAAGCATGAAGAAGCGCAGAATTATTTCGAGAGAGCATTGGCTATTAAAGAAATGGCGTATGATCAAAATCATCCAAACCTTGTTACTATATTAAATAGTCTAGCATTGAACCTTGGTGATCAGGGCAAGCATAAAGAAGCGCAGAAATGTTTCGAGAGATCATTGGCTATTCAAGAAATGGCGTATGATCAAAATCATCCAACACTTGCCGTTATATTGAATAACCTAGCATTGAACCTCCGTGATGTGGGCAAGCATGAAGAAGCGCAGGAACGTTTCAAGAGAGCGATGCATATTGATGAGATGGCGTATGGTCAAAATCATCCAATACTTGCTATTACATTGAATAATATGGCATTGAACCTCCGTGATCTGGGCAAGCATGAAGAAGTGAAGAAACGTTTCGAGAGAGCATTGGCTATTCAAGAGATGGCGTATGGTCAAAATCATCCAAAACTTATTTCTACATTAAATAATCTAGCATCATATCTCTTTTTTCTGGGCAATTTTGAAGAAGCGCAGAAATGTATCGAGAGAGCCTTGGCTATTCAAGAAATGGCGTGATCATTATCATCCAACACTTGCTACTATGTTGAATAATCTAGCATTGAACAGGGTTCCCAGGGGTCAGGGAAAAGTCAGGGAACTATTTATTTAGTCAGGGAAATTGCGATTTTCACCTAAAGTCAGGAAAAAGTCAGAGAATTTGGTTTAAAGTTAACCATGAGTATCCGTGTGATACTCATACTGCTTGCAATTTTCAAATAGACCGATAACAATCTTTTCAAATAATGAAAAAAATATTGAAGTATTTAGTATCATTTATGCCGAACAGTTTAATTACGTTGGGTGTCCTGTGTAATATGATAATAGCGGGGCCAAGGTAAAACTAAGGCATGTGACCCATGCTTGCCCTTGAATCTCGACAAGGCCAGTGAAAACTGTTATTTGGTCAGGGAAAAGTCAGGGAATTTTTATTTTCAAAATGGCTGGTAACCTTGTTGAACCTCCGTGATCTGGGCAAGCATTAAGTAGCGCAGAAATATTTCGAGAGAGCATTGGCTATTAAAGAGATGACGTATGATCAAAATCATCCAAAACTTGCTGCTGCATAATTTGGTCAGTAATGAGCTTTGTTAGCTTGAGTAGAATAATGTTTAAAGTACGTACCTGAGTTGCATGGGTTGCTTTCGCGGCTAACGCGTCGTCTTTCAACGCTGTGAGTCCTACGGGTCGGGTCGCCACACGTGAAATGGTGGTTTTCTCCGGGTTTTCCGGTTTCCTCCCTCCGTAAGTTGAGCGTTGTGTGCATAGAATATTGATTGTAGTGGTGATGCGTGTGAGCAAAAAATGACCCCAATTAGTGCGAAAGCGCTAGAACGACTAGACACTAAAATAAAGATTTTTTAAAATTTTATTTATTTATCTTTTTTTTAGTGTTGGTCAAAAATATTATACACTTAGTTAATGTCCGGTCGCGAGGGAAATAGTTAGTTTTGTTTTCCCTCGGGACTAGTTCTTAATTGTTATATAACAAAACACTTAATGTCTGGTCCCTCGGGAAATTATAGTTAGTTTTGTTTTCCCTCGTGACTAGTTCTTAATTGCTATATAACACAACACTTAATGTCTGGTCCCTCGGGAAATTAGTTAGTTTTGTTTTCCCTCGGGACTAGTTCTTAATTGCTATATAACAAAA